ATCCCTGGGGGACGCCGGAGCCGGAGCAGCCGGTGATTTTTGGGGGTGATGGAGAAGAGGACACCTACGACCCCCCCGTGACACAGAGTAAGTGTTGGGGACAATTGTGGGGGGGGGGGGGGCATTCTTCATCCTTGAGAAGAGGATGGAGACCTCCAACTCTGGTGACCCACCAAGACCTCATAACCAAGGACATACCAAGAAGCTCCAAGTTATGGGGTGTCCCATTGATGATCCCATGGGAAGGTGGTTTCCAAGCCCACCATTGGGATTGACCCCACCTCTTCTCTGTCATCTCAGGGACATCAAGTGACCCCGAGATGGACACATCAACCACAGGTGACCCCGAGATCGTAGAGTTGGATACAACCACCTTGTTGGGTCACGTGGAAGAAGGTTCATCAGGTGAACAAAGCCCAACACGGGAGACTCTACGTTGGACCGTGGTCCAACAAATCGATTCTCCTGGAAGAACAGGAGGTCGTCGTGGTGGTAAAACCAGATCAGGAGCTGGTACCTTCTCCAATTTTAAGAGCATCATCGTGTTGCAGAAGAGTTACGAGTGTGGAGAATGTGGAAAGAGCTTCAGTTGTAGCTCCCACTTCAGCAAACATCGAAGAACCCACACGGGTGAGAAACCATTTCTGTGTCTCCACTGTGGTAAAAGCTTCAACGTCAGTTCCAACCTTTACCGACATCAACGATCTCACCTGGCTCAACCATCTCCACCACCGAATCCATCTTCACGTCCACGAGGGTTACCATATAAATGTGAAGAATGCGGGAGATGTTTTCGAAGGAATAAAGAGTTGGTGACCCATCAACGTTTCCACACCGGTCGTTTACCTTTTCAATGTGGTCATTGTGGGAAGAGCTTCAGTTGGAGTTCTCATTTCCATCGTCATCAACGTGTCCACACCGGTGAGAAACCATATCAATGTCCTGAGTGTGGGAAATGTTTTAGTCGAAGTTCTCACCTCTACCGTCATCAACGTACCCACGCCGGTGGTCGCTCTTATATCTGTACTTATTGTGGACGTAGTTTTGGTAGCATCCTCCATTTTGATCGTCATCAACGTACCCATAAAGGTCAACGACCTTATAAATGTACTTTGTGCCGGAAAAGTTTTGGTGATGGGTCAACTTTGGTGAAACATCAACGTCTTCATCTAAACGATGGGCTTTTGAGTTGTGAAGAATGCGGGAAAGCTTACGGTTCTCGCGCTCAATATATCCGTCATCGACGTAACCACCACGGTGATGATGGTGGTGGTGATGGTGGTGGTGGTGGTGAGAAACCGTATCGTTGTGGTGATTGTGGGAAGAGTTTTTCATGGAGTTCACATTGGGAAAGACATCAACGGATCCACACCGGTGAACGACCGTATCAATGCGGCGATTGCGGGAAAAGGTTTGGTAGAACATCTCATCTTTATCGTCATCAACGTACTCACGCTGGTGGACAACCTCATATCTGTCCAGATTGTGGCAAGAGTTTCAACAGTACCTTCCACTTCCAGAAACATCAACGTGGTCACGCCGGTATCAGACATTCTTGTCCAGATTGTGGGAAAACATTCGCTGACGGTTCGGCGTTGTCCAAACATCGCCGAGCTCATCAAGGTGAGAAACCATTTCCTTGTCCACAATGTGGTCAACGGTTTTGTATCAGGTCTCATCTTCATCGGCATCTTCGGAATCACCGGCGAGAAGAACCAGCAGAAGAATTAGGAGAAGAAGAAGAAGAAGCGTTGGATGAACTTACACCACGTTGATGAAGGAGAAGTTGGAGTGGGGTGAGGAGGACACACACATGGAGATGAACCCCCTCCAGGTTGTCCTCATGTGTGACCCCCCCC